GAAGGCAGCCAGTTTGAATGGTGCACGTGGTTTCAGAAAAACTGCTTCAGTAACCATATTCGGTGGTAACATACAATTTTCAACCGAACAGTGACTCGAGAACGTTTAGATAGAGTCGAATCTCCACCATAGACGAGCTGCTGTATACGTCGAGAAAATAAGTATAGACAGAGTAGGAATAAAAGAGGGTGAATAATGACGTAGTGAATAGTAATAATAATAATAATAATAATAATAATAATAATTATAAATAAATAATAAATGATAATGCGAGTCACTTGATTGTTATTTGGAGCGAGAGGAATATTTTTCATAAGTAGATAGTTTATCATGTTTTTGTGTGAGGGCTGAGATACTGCCCGGGTGCCCAAACGAAGCAGGTGGTTTTCTTAGGGGGCCACACCCCGAGCCTTTGACCTAAAGGTCTAACCCACAAGGCAGTGGAGCATCGTCAGGGGATGCAGTCCCATGGTAGCCGGTGACCAAGGAATTGGTTCATACGCCCCACAATGGTAGTATTTCTCGACCTTAAGGCGGCATTCGACTCTGTTGATCGTAAGGTTCTATGGCAGTGTTTGTCACTGAAAAGAGTACCAAAGAAGTACATTAACCTTATAAAGGCTCTCTATTCGAACACAACTGGTAGAGTGAGAGCTTATGGCGAACTGTCATCAGAATTGATTACCTCAAGTGGTGTTCATCAGGGCTGCCCACTATCTTCATTCTTGTTCAACTCGGTCGTCGACGTACTTTTAGAGATAACACTTTCCTCGTCTAGATTTCCAGGGGTTGAACTTCTACCGGGAGGTTCACTTGTTGACTTAGAATATGCTGATGACATAGTTTTATTTGGTGAAGACGCTGACAAAATGCAGTCTTCTGACCACTCTAAGCAACAATGCAAGCATGTTCGGGATGCGATTCTCCCCCTCGAAATGCAAAATGTTGCTTCAGGATTGGGTTGCATTGACACCCGAACTAATGATAGGGAGTGAAGTAATTGAGCGTGTCGACCGCTTCACTTATCTTGGAAGTCTCATCAGCCCTTGTGGTCTGGTGTGTGACTAAATCTCAGCACAGATACAGAAGGCTCGACTAGCTTTTGCCAACTTGAATCATTTATGGCGTAGGCGAGATATCCGTCTATCAACCAAAGGACGGGTTTACTGCGCAGCAGTTCGTTCCGTCCTACTTTATGGCAGTGAAACATGACCGGTAAGAGTAGAGGATATTCGTAGGTTATTAGTATTTGATCATAGGTGTCCTCGAAATATTGCTCGTATATCGTGGGACCATCGAGTAAGTAATAAAGCTGTTAGGAAACGGGTACTTGGTAAGGATGGCAAATCGATTGATGACGTAGTGAAACTTCATCAGTTGAGATGGCTGGGACACGTATTACGTATGCCCAACCACCGACTGCCTCGACGTGCTATGTTCAGTGGTATAGGAGTAGGTTGGAAGAAAGCTAGGGGTGGCCAGACGAAAACATGGCACAACTCCATGAAGTCACTGACAAGTAGACTGAGTCATATTGGTAGGTGTAGACTACCTGGTTGGGGACCGCGAGATGATAGCAACCGATGGTTAGAGACCCTGAATGATATGGCTCAAAATCGTTTGCCATGGCGCAGATGCATACACTCTTTGTGTTCTCCGAAATTTTGATCTCCTTATTCCTCCTTGTCTCGTTTTTTTTCTCCTCTAAAATTTATTTTACTGTATTATACTCTTTGAATAACATCTCCAAACACTAATCTTCCCGATTACTGCTTATACTCTTATTACCTCTACCACTACGGGATTTGAATCGACCACTGCATCTCTGTGCTAATGTGGTGTGGCAACTCGAACTGATGTACGTACGTACGAAGTTCTACGTTGTTACTGACTGACTGGTTCATACGCCACTTGTTCCCTCAGGATACTGGAGCTCATGTGCACCACTGATTTGGTTTGGGATCCAGTTAAAGCTCCGGACATTCCCTTTTCGTCCTCTCATTTTCGTAAACAACACCCCCGCCACGAGAAGGCAGTGAGTAGGACTTCTCTGGCAGAGGCTGTATACGCGTGGCCGTGTGAGAGTATATCGAGAAGGAGGGCGGGCCCACCCCACTCTCGGTCATACCAGGGCATTTCAAACAAACTCGCAATATTGCGAACGAATAATACAGTGAAGAATGGTAGAATAAATAAACAAATAAATAATAGTATTTATTGAGAGATGAGATTCAGTTAAAAGCACAGCAAAAAGTAAACTCAACTGAGTTCATTTCACTTTTATAGTTCTATAGAAAACTTCAGCGGACCCGCCTCTGGTTTGTATTTTAAGTCATACCTGATAACGTCTCAAGCCTCTGAGTAGCACGGTGTGTAGGAAATCAACCAACAAGTCGTGATAGACCTGTAGGTGCTATTCCCACACAAATACCCTTCGTATCGCTCGCCATGTTGTAAACAGACCTCTTTTTTTATACGCAATCTCGATAATTCACAATATGGAAGTTGCTGGGCTACATTTGCAAAGCAAGATTAAACCACTAAAGTCGGTGTTTCAAGAGGGTGACTGATTAAATTATTGTCACCATCCGAATGGCATTAATGACACGGTGATGCTATTGGATCTAAACAATCAAACACAGAACCTCAAAAAATACTCAACTCGCAGGTTCAGGTTTCACAAGTATAGGGCAGGTCTGTTTTCACCAACGTGATGTAAACCCGACCTTTTACAGCCGGAATAGAAACACAGAGATAGGAAGATATAAACCTCATGAAGCTCCAAGTTTTTTACTGGTAGATTAGGTGATCCGGAACAGCTGTTAATGGGTACATGCATCAACTTTGCTGCCTAGTATGTTCTGATCACCGGGCCTCTTAAGATGAATTTCGGAGCTTTTAAGTTACTCAACGTTTTCGTCGTGAAAAATGGGACAGTTTCAATTGTGCTGATCAATATAAAGTAATTCTCGAAAAGTAAATCTGGGTAATCTGCGTTTTACAGATTTATGGTTGTTAGATAAACTGCACTTCGTGATTTTGATGCTGATAAAATTATCAAGCTGTTGATCAAAATACCCTGAAGCCATAATTGAGCAGTTACCCTAGAGAGTACCCTGCACTGTTTATAATTTTAAATAAGAAATCATTGCGTTTTTAACTTGACTCAATAGAATATAACTGCCCAGCATTGCAGTTAATATACTTATTTCACCTGCCTTTTTGTGCTAAAATCTAACCGTAAACAAAGGTTTATAAAGTATTTTAAACCCCATCCTTTTTGTTTTGGTTAAGTCAACATTTTGTTTTTGGGTGTATGACGTACACCTTAAACGGATAATCTTCGGTTGTGGGTAGTGAAAGTTACGTTTAATTAAAGAATAGTTGTAAGCCAACTGCTCCGCATTGAACAGTCAGTCAGCCAGTCATCAACAACGTAAAAATTCGTACGTACGTATATTAGTTCGAATTGCCATACCACATTAGCACAGATATGCAATTGTCAATGCAAATCCCGTGGTGGTAGAGGTAGTAAAAGTATAAGCAGTAACCCGAGCCAAAGGCTCGGGGTGTGGCCCCCTAAGAAAACCACCTGCTTCGGTTTGGGCACCCGGGCAGTATTACACTCCATACACAGCATGAAATGACAATACTTACGGAAAATACTATACTTGCTTCGATTAACAGATTTGTGTGGCGCATATATATTTGATGCCATCTTGTACCAATATTTATGTGTTCAAATAAATAAATAATAGGCTTCAGTGTACGTCCCTGAATACATTTGTACAAAGCTATAAGGGCTGGATTGATATCAACATTATGACCGGTTTCAATTAAATTTTTCACATTAAAGGAAGATGTTTGTCTATCCTGCGATCTTATTTGACCATTGGAGTTCATTTTTTTCTATAGTCACTTGGGTATGTGTTCAGTCACCCTTACTTGCAGCTCACGACCTGTCCTCCCTATTTACATGTGTCCACACATATATGTAAAGTAATAGACGCAATGGGATATGATGATGTCGCTTACATGTTGTTTGGGTTTTCAGTGAAACATATACTTTGATTATTCGATAATGACGAGTTGGAGTGCGTAGGATGTCCCGTTGATGGCTAATTTAAGCTTCAACATGAGACTATTTGAGTCACCTCTAAATGATTAGGTGGTAGACTCTTTTTCCGGGTGCCGGAAACGTCATGGGTTTCATCGTATTTCTACCAACGGTTTGTAAACCCGAATGAATAACCGTTATTAAGTTTCCAGTTTAGAGCTTCGTGTCTCCTTCAATAATATCACTAGTACAAACACGATTGATCCCATTTAGTAAGCCCTTTATTAATCCACGTTTGTAATGGGTTGGACAATAACTATGGAAGTTAAGAGATTGCTCTGTCCATGTCGAGTTTCTATGTACAGAATGTTTGATCAAGCCATCATCTCTTCTACTAATCATTATGTCCAGAAAAGGGAGCAGGTTATTCATCCCTTTTTCGCATTTTAGAGGAATATGCTTTAGACTTGTGTTGATTTCTTTGAACAAGCGGTTCACAGCTTCACCTTTATCACCTGTGACTAGTATGTCATCCACGTACCATTTATACAGACACATCTTTTGAATTGAGTCTTTAACTAGACTATCCACATATCGACCAACAATGATCCTGAAGGACTACCCATAGCTTCGCCATCAATCTGTCGAAAATGCTCACCTTCGAAAGCGAGTCTCACATCGTCAGTATATTTCTTTAAACATAAACATTAATACAAAAAGGCATCAAATATATATGCGCCACACATTGTCAGTACATAATAATAATAATGATAAAACTTTAAGTTTTTACAGGGAATGGCAACGAATGGTTATTCAAAGAAATATAATCACACAAAATATTATGTTTATAATACAAATTCAAAAATACTTGCTTGTTGAACTTATCATTTTATACGAAAAGTTAGTTTCTATGCTCTTGAACTTGCTTTTTTTGTAACTCTAGGATCAAGTAGAGAATCTTTTTAAACATGAAATCGATCAGATCGGGCTAACTGAGTCCTACTTCAAACTTTTCTCCGATGTCCAAAAGTTACAGCATGAATTTGGGAAGAAACTAAGGTAAAGTAACATTTTATTACCATTCATTTTCGATTTCTATAGGAAAACGGTTTCTGTATATTTACCGAGGAAGAAACCCGATGTTGACGAATTATCTTCCGTTCTGACATATTCAAGTATCGTTCCACAGATACTTGAAATGGGTGTAACACATGAGGCTAGTTCCAAAAAACTTAATGAATCTGTTGTCAATCCACTGAAAACTCAAGTCGAAAATGAGAAGAGATCCTTGGAAAAACAGCGTTCTCATTGGTCAAAGCTAAACGCGACCATAGAACAGTCGCGTAAACAGTTAGAATTAAGCTGGCAAAAGTATGTAACCAATTTCAAAGAAAGGCAGAAAGCATATGAGGTTTCGGAAAAGGCTCAAAACGATATCCAACTAGCGCGGGTCGATCAACAGAAGGTGGGTTTATTATTTATTGTTACATCGGTGGTAAATTTGACCCACACTCTAGAGTTTTGTTTTTGTCAGTATAGTGTTATATTTCATTTTTTCCTATAAAGTTGGTTTTAGTCCATGGTGATGTGTGTACATATTTTTAAAATTCGAGTGATTAATAAGCACAAATATCTTATAGATGTTATAAGTTTAATACCATGACAAATCCTGAATAATTGACCCTCACTTAGGCCATTCGAGTAAGTAAATCTTTTATTTGTGACGTGGTCATAAGACTTAATTTCCTTGCTTCCTATCATGAAAATCAGAATACCCACCAGTTTGTGGTACATGAGCCATCCAAATGCATGTCCTATACTTCAGTTAATTGCTAGTAACTGGCAGTCAGTTCCTTTGTATAGTTTTCGTAGGACTTATTTTCACGTGCTACTGTTCGGAATGGGATGTTAAAGCTTTAAATATATGTTTTACGTATTTCGTTAGTAGTGGCTTATTGGTTAAGGTAATTGACTTTCAACTATTAGATCACAGGTTCGAAGCCTTTTCTAACTACCTTAACTAGGACAACCGGATAGTATCGTTAGTCTTCACATCAACATGTGGCTTAAGGCTACAAACAGAAACCTATACTTACCAGATGGGTTACATTATTTATTATTGCTTCATTAACATACAATAACCTTGTAACATCGTTTAGTGTATTTTTGAAGTGCCGTAATTATAATAGTAATCGGTAAATTATAATCTGATGCCACGTGAAAGTAACATAGAAGTGTTAATCTGGGATAGCGTGTACAATTAGATGGATTTTATGAACACAGTATGAATTATATTAATACCAAACAGTTATTTTTAAGCTCACAGTATTTCTGTATTGGTTGTCTTACCACTTTTGTCTAGTTTGAGGCTCTTTATCAAAGTAAAATGCAGTCTTTTGATCAAGCTAGTAGAAATTACGTCGATGAATTAGCTAAATACAATATAGCCAATCGACGTTACTTCAGCACAGATATAGTGACTTTTGTAGATGATATGGAATGTTCAAGTCGTATGCGAAATAATCGTACTCGTGAACTTTTACTGATGGTCACCCGCATTAATGAAGAAACAATTTCCAAACTTACTAGCTGCAACAAGCTGATTTCTGAGGCTGTTTCTGCTCTTGATTCCTCCTATGTAAGTTTTTTTTTAAAAAAAATTGTTTCCTTTGGTGAGTGTACCACATTTTTATTAATTCCAGCAAATGTTTGGTCTTTTAATTTTTCTACGCTGTTACAAAACATTCTCGTTTTTTATTGTGAATTTCACGAGGTTTATTTAACGTAGTCCATTGAATATGCCATCTGAATTTGAAATTATGCATCTATTTACAAGATCTTCAGTAAATATATGGAGCAATTTATTTTGTGATTTGGAAGTTTGTAAAAATATTACAAATTCCGCCAACGTTAGCACAAAGTATTTCTACACACTATTCTGTATATATTAAAACAATTTAGAATCGATTTACATAGGCATCTGCTGTTTCTAGTAACTTATGTTAAATTGATTCATTAGAACAAATTATAAAAAAATCACGACAATGTTTATATCAGTAAGAAATTAGAAAATTATTTGAGTTGTGCTTGATGTTTATCGAAATGCATGGTCTGATGTCATAAAATATATAATAATGTATCGTAAAGTTTCTATCTCGGATATATCAGACAATGATAGCTTACATGTGAATGTTCCCAATGTAAATTAATCTTCTAAAACTAAACATTCTGTTTTTTTTTGTACGACATTAGAGTATTTTTCGTGTAATTTATCACTACTAAATCACATAATTAGAAAAGTAACATTTGTTATAGTTTTTATTTATTTATTTCAACACATAAATAGTGGTACAAAGAGGCACCAAATACATATGCGCCACACAAATCTCATTCGATATGTGTGAGGGCTGTGATACTGCCCGGGTACCCAAACCGAAGCACGTGGTTTTCTTAGGAGCCCACGCACCGAGCCTTCGACCTGAAGGTCTGATCCACAAGGCAGTGGAGCATCGTCAGGAGATGCAGTCCCATGGAAGCCGGTGACCAACAATTGGTTCATACGCCATTCGTTCCCGCAGGATACTGGAGCCCATGTGTACCACTGATTTGGTTTGGGATCCAGTTAAAGCGCCGGACATTCCCTTTTCGTCCTCTCATTTTCGTAAACAACACCCCCGCCACGAAAAGGCAGTGAGTAGGACTTCTCTGGCAGAGGCTGTATACGCGTGGCCATGTGGGGGCATTTCGAGACGGAGAGCGGACTCTCCCCACTCTCGGCCGTACCAGGGCATTTGGGGGCATTTGTTATGGTACCTACATTTATTTAAAGTGTAAATGTTGGTTAGTCGATTGGTTCACGTATCTGGCTGTGTGAACTGTGTTTACAGTAAACACCTTGGGTTATATATATATAGACTTATTATCTATTCAATATGTGTATTATGTAAACTTTTGTGTTGTTCACATGACTTATCCTTTTACAGGACTCAGCTAAGGTAATAAAGAGGTTGCACACAGATGAACAACCTCCTGCTGATTTACCATTCCTTGATTTGGATAAATGTCCTCCAGGTATTTTGGATGGTTCTGTCTCAGAACTGGGAGCTTTAATACTTGGTGTCGAGTCACCAGAATGTTCAAATCAGTTAAATAACTCAGGAAGTGCTATTTCAGGAAGCGGGATGATGAGTGGACTCATTCGGTCTACTCACAAGAATTCAAAAGATGAATATCTTAGTTTACGCTCACCATTTATTTGTGGCATTAGTGTAAAAAGTATAAAAGTAAGTTTAAAAAATGTACTTTTATAAATGTACGTTATTCCACAAATACAGACTACCTGGTTCGGATCTGGGTGATAACTGCGGTTAGAGACTGGGCGACATAATTCAGAATCGTTCACAATGACACAAGTTCACTCATTCGTTGTCTTATTGAATTCTAAGTTTCCAAATCACCTCATAAAAACGTTTTTCCTTTTTTATTTCATAAATCTGTATTTTCTCGAACAATATCTTCAATGCCTAGTCTTTTTTATCCTTTCTAGCATTGCTGCTGCGTCTAACACTCTAGTATTTGCTTTGAGAATTTCATTTCACCGTGCAGATGAGGTGTGTGACAACCTGAACCGATGCACTCATTCGTCTATGTTGCATATGGCTGACTGACTGACTTCACCAGACACTAACTAAACTGTCATTAATCAGTTTCCTCATCGCCTTCAAAATTTTTAAAACGATACTACTGTATAATGGTAACTACGTTGAAAATCATATTATAACTCTATTATGAGTCATGAGTAATGAGTATATTTATGTGGTCGAATTTCTTTCAATTGTTGTGCTTCTCACATTGGTATTTTCTGAATAGTTGTTTAAAGTTTGAGGGGTCACAATTGATCTATCTATGTGGACAGAAAAGTTTGAACTAGACCACTGTACCACACCATTAATGGTTTTGACTCAAAACTTGTAGAGTAACTGAAAATGTGACAAACGATTATGTTAATTGGTGTAAGTAGCCGTCAATCAGTGATCGAATTACGATATAACTTTTATAGAGTTACAATCTGAAGTATAATTATACCCATTATATATGATTATTAATTTCCTCAGTAGTATTTTGTTTGTCATCATAATAGACCCACAGACAAATACAATGACATGAAATTTGTTTCTGAAGTGCATTGGTCAATACTTTCTACAACTGTGGGAATGTGTTTACATGGGTAAAGTGGCGTAACTAGTAGTGAACATGTAAATGACAAGCCAGTGTACTGATGATTGAATATAGTAAAAGTAAGTGAATCTATAACATCCTGATTGGCATTTAGTCTTTGACCATTGATGTTTATCAATACAAAGGCATTACCCCAGCACACCTACCTATGCGACTCAAATTAGGTGCTAGTGTTAAACTGGACTGGTCGAACTTCGACATATTCACCCTGAAACTCTTTTATTCGGCTTACTTTACACTTTTTTCTACGTATTTTCATTTCAACCGTAATGTTCTTTTCATTTCTCATTTGCATGGGTGGAAAATTTTCAAAGTTAAGATATGGTTCTTGATGATTTATGTTCATTTAATAATAATGCTTTTGATATTTCAATATTCTTAGTATTTTCATATTCTTCTGGTGAATGTTAACATGTTTATATGGTTATCATGAATTGGCGAAGCTAAAGTAACCAAATCTCATTGATATGCTATTAATTGTGGACACTGATCTGTTCATGGATGATATCAACCTTGTGTGGAATTATAACTTTCCTAAATGTAATTGTTGAACAATGGGTCAGTAATTTGAACACTTTACTCTCATCTCTCATTATGGGGATTTGTGAAGATTGTAATATTTTCACAGTTGAATTCACGAGTCAGTCTAAACTAGACCACCACTGAAAACCTGGAAGCATTTGACAGCCGTTTCATTTTAGTATGGGACTTCACAGCAGCGCGCATTTACGATCCCGCACGCGAAATTCGAACACTTTAGGGTTGGTGATGAACCATTCCGTTCATTTGACTGATTTTATGTTAAAAATGACATGAACAAATATGCGTAACAGATTTTCAGCAAACAATTGTTCTGTCTGAAATGTTCGTAGATGTTTAAATGTAGTGCTTATTAAATCATTGATATATATCAATTAAGAATTGATGTGTAATTTATAAATCGTAAGCTGTACAAACAATCATTGTCAGACTTTGCAGTATGTTTTTCGGTTTGTGTGCCTTTCCATAATAAAATAACGAAGTCGTGGCTCTGGTTTTTTATTTACATACTTATATAGTTCAAATAAAAACATGTGAAAAGTATTGTATGTTTTTTTATTTTATCTCTTAAATAATTTTGGTAAGTTAACTATCTTTATTCAGTAATTTTACTTTCATTTCAAGAATACAGATTTAACTATCAGACAAGTTGCTGACCGGATAAAAGTACTAAGGGACTTGGTTATGAAGACTGATAATGAACTGTAAGTACTTTATTGTAAAAATTCTTTAAATAAATAATACTGATATGTTCAAACAGTAATTGAAATAGTCAAATTTAATATTTCAGTTCTCCAACAATTTCGTTGGATTGTATCCAGTTGTTGTTAAAGTTGATACTTCACATATGATGATTTAATTAAATAATGCTCTAGACCATTGCAAAACATTTTTTCATCAAATTGTCAATCTATGGACTCTAACTAATTCTCTTTCCAATCTTAAAGGTGTTTGCTTTACTTGACAATTTCTCAAATATCGAAGTTAGATATGTAAACCATGGGATGTCGACCCAATGATCTAAAGGTTAAGCGCTCACGACGAAACCTGAAGATGCTGGGTTAGACAAAGCAGTTGTCCAGTTCTTTGTGATTTTCAGAGGTTGTCGACGATCTATCCGTGATGTAAACTATAATAATTTTCTTTAAAAGCACTAAGAAGAATATGTTTCCAGTGTCTGGTTAATATTGGAAAGTTGAAAAATATGACCGAAGAGAGTTTGGGACGCGTAAAATCAGTAATGTAGTCACCTTATGCTAGATATTCAGAGGCGATCAATTATTAACTCTCCAAATCTACCATATCATTTGCTTAAAGTGTCTTTTTTCTTTAAGTATTAAGGGGTTTAGGGGTAGGTCTAATCCCTGAAAACTAAAAAAATCCATTATTTTTCTCTTAAGATGCTTTTGTAGTTTTTACTGAATTGTAACCATAAGAAAACACAAAGAAACAGTCGGGGAACCTGTTAAATCCATTATTGTAAACTCTCTAATTACACTAATTTGAATGATGGTATCATATGAAGTGGATTCTGAGTAATCAGTTATAATCCCTTCTCTTTAAGTATACCGAGGAAGCCTAATATAATGGCGAAATAATGGTAATAGTTTCATTTACTTGATAGTCATTCCTTTACAGATCTATGATCTGTAAAGGCATTTAAAGAATAAAAAAACGTTTAAACGTACCATCTTATAAAGGATTATTTTGTCAACCATTCAGTTATCTGAAATGTTAGGAGCACTAATTACCTTTCCTTTTTCTTGCCTTAATATTCCACACTTCATAGTGTAAAGCATTGGAAATTTTTTGGTTACCACTAGAATAATGTAACTATATATATTCAATCTCTTGCCAAATGATCATTATCAAGTGATTGATCTCTACAGTACCTATTTATTTCATATACACCGTTATTCTGATAGAAATTAATTTTAACTCTTTATTATTTCAACTATGCATTCGATTTCTCTCATTTCGCATACCTGGACGTTTCAAAAACATTTTAAATTTACACTTTTACCTTAAATAAACAAATTTGCACCGATTATCGACTATTAACAACATCAGGTTACACAAACACATACATTAGTTTCATTTCACTTTGTGAAATTTTCGCATGATTCACATTTTACTGACTCATATTTTTTTCCTTACTAAATTCGTTATCTTAATATAATCGGATAAGCTTTTAATGTAGATTTGGTTGTTATACATTATATATTCTTTGACAATTTTGATTTTGATAATTACCCTGAAGAAGTCCAAACAAGATTGCTGGATGAAACATTGTAATTATTTGACTTTCGATCGCTACTGTTATTTCAATCATAATTTTTCATAAACCATGTGTTTTATTATACTCAGTGCCAATTTCGTTCAAACTGTTAGTTCACAGATTGATGTATATTTGTATTAATGTATATCACTGTATTGTTGGCTCTATTCCATTTTCACTAATACAAATCCTGTTTTTTTTTCCATTGTTTCACCATGTAACACACGCTAAACTGTCAATTTGAATATGATTTATATTTTAAGTAAGAAACTATGTCTTCAAGTGTATGACGTTCTATAAGGGATTTAGAAATGTAATAGAATTGAAACAATAGTGATATGTATTATTTATACTTGAGCATACCTGAATACCTAGATCAAAATTCACATGATCATAGTGGTACAAATGTGATTAAAGTATGAATTAATTGTGATTCATGAAAAATCACAGCATTGTAATTTCTACTCAACTCTCGTTCCATACAATTGATACGATTCTGTGTAATGGTAATCATTTTCAACTCATATTGCTTTCTTGTTATTTGGTAAGTAAATCATAGTTATAACACGTTGATTGACTGATTCACGCATAAGTGGCATTATAATTTCTTCCAAAATACGCATATTCATTTGATCAATCGTATTTTTTCATGATATTCTTTTTCAAGATTTGGCAGTTACCTCTGAGGTCACCTATTTACTTTAGCAGGTCAATCAGTTGATCATGAACTCGCAGTCATTTCGTTAATTTATCAATCAGTTGTTCCATCGTAGCAAAGACGAGTATCAACAGTTCCTTGGTGAAGTGTAATTAACAATCTAGGTTATTTAGCGCACTTATCTAACTGTAAAATGTTTACTTTTTTCTATAGTTATTTTGTAGCTTTATTACAAGCTTGGATATATATACATTTTTATTTTATTTTTAAAGACGAAGTACCGATCGTATGATTGAATCCTGTCGGACAAATCCTAAATTCGGAGATATGGAATGCTTAGTTCGAGCAGGTGCTACTTACAGTAGACGTTTAAATTCTTTAAAGCAACACATTAAAGAACTTGAGGTAACATGCTTCCTGTGGATGTAAATAGTTTTTCTTTGTTATAGAAATAATATCAGATATTAGTTATGACAAATATGCTAATCTACCTTACTTTACCTGCAAATACATGTATGGAAATACGTAGAACTGTAAATGTGAATAATTAAGTAGAAGAAAATTGTCATACCTTAAATAGAAGTTCACTCAATCTTTAATTAATGACAAAGAAACAAAACAGTCTTATTGAAGTTGTTATTCAAAGTTTTGCTCTCCGATTCTCTCGGAAATCAGTGTATATATCGATATAGAATATTTATCGGTAAATATTTGTTTAGATTATGGTTTAGCAAATATTAGCTTACTATTCGTCATGACAGTTAATTGAGTTCGTATTTTGTTTAACTAATACTAATACTAAAATCAACTTTTGTTGTAGCGTGAACCATAAACTTACACTTGGTAGATAATGAGAAATCAACAAAGAGTTACTTTTTAAAACAAAAATCTTGGTTAGTTAAAGTTGTATGTTTCGTGCTTTGAACAGATATATCATACGAAAAAAGTAAGATGTAAACCGATAGATAAATTGATAAACTAGCTAAAAGATCATTGGTGTTTATGTAATTACTTAATCTGCTCATTTTATTCGAGACCATGATTGAAAACTAAAATAAATATATTTCAACCGTATATCTATCAAGTGATCAGTCATAAATGACGTAGAATATGGCACACATGTGTATGGAAACAAGTTGTCACATTTGAATGTGATGACAAAAGAAAAAAATCAATAGGATAAAAGATCATAAGAATCCCAATAATGATATTAATAATAAGATTCATGATGGCGAAATGAAAACACAACGAGAGCATTCCATTTATTTTGAAAATAATGGGTTAATGTGTGAACAAAATACAATTATGAACTAACATTCTAACTTAACATCTAGAAAAAGATAAAGATATAAACTACTGTGATTAACCTCAAGCTATAACTTCACCTGAGCAGCATATTTACTACTGAGGAACATCTGGAACTCAAAGCAACTGTCAATCAACACCAAGGTCAGGATTTTCAATACAAATATCAAGACAGTTCTACTGTATGGGGCAGAAACCTGGAGAACGACGAAAGACATCATCCAGAAAATACAGGTGTTTATTAACAGTTGTCTACTCAAAATACTTCAGATCCGTTGGCCGGACACTATTAGCAACAACGTTCTGTGGGAGAGAACAAACCAAATCCCAGCGGTGGAAGAAATCAGGAAGAAGCGCTGGAAGTGGATAGGACACATATTGAGGAAAGCACCGAACTGCGTCACAAGACAAGCCCTCACATGGAATCCTGAAGGTCAAAGGAAAAGAGGAAGACCAAAGAACACATTACGCCGAGAAATGGAAATAGACATGAAAAAATGAACAAGAATTGGATGGAACTAGAAAAGAAGACCCAGGACAGAGTGAGTTGGAGAATGCTGGTCAGCGGCCTATGCTCCATTGGGAGTAACAGGCGTAAGTAAGTAAGTAAATAACTTCACCTAATGCGTCTAACCATGGATTACGAATTACCTACTTATCTCGACCATAAAGTCTGCATCTTCAAGTGACTGAGAAAATTTGACGAATGCCACCTGATACTGAGTATTCAAGGGGTTCTTAATCGTTTAGACCAGTTTCTTAAAACATTCAAATATTGCAGTAAACCTTCGTGTTTCAGATTTGTTTCGGCCAAATAATTACGAATGCTGAGCATACTTACTCACGTGCTTTTATAAAAAGAAGCTTACAACCTACCGCGATGCTTGCTGGAAAACGTAAATGTTGACACCATATTTAATGGAATATTCTCCCCTTTGTTTCTCTTTTGAGGAAACTACCAGGCAGTTACACTAGAATGCATGCATCTAATGTATGGTGGACGAAAGTCAATAGTTGTCTTAGCTGAACTGGTAGAAAGCTTTCTCCATTAAAGATGAATGACAGACACTGACTACTTAAACATAAAATATATTTTTGAATAATTACAGTTTGAGTGCAAATGAAAGGGAAGTTTTCTTTAATACTAGATAATTGATGCTAAGTTTTTTAGTGTAATAAAATTTATAATATTAGATACACCGAACGTTAATTTTAGCCTTATTATTGTCGGTGACACAGAATCAAGTCATCTGAATATCTCTTAAACATTTACTTGTGTAAATGCATGACTAAGTGGATTCGATCTTCAACTTTGAAGCCAAGCGAGTTTTTTCAGTTTTAGTGGTGTTGAGTGCTGTTGGAAGTATGTGTGGTTATCACTTTCCTGTTGTCCACACCGTAGAAGTGTTCTTCTAGAGGTACCATGAAAAGAAATTGCGTTGGAGTTGGTCTACTGACTTGATAGCATGACTGCAGTGCCAAAGGGATAGCTGCTTGAGGCCGGTTAAGCACGGCTTTTCGTGAGTAATTTTTGTGTTAGCTCCCTACTTCTTGAAATTTTACCACTGGGAATGGAAATCTGTGGGATTAGGCTATTCATTGGTTTATCAGTTCACACCTTTAACTTTTTAGTTAAGAGTTAGAGCATACGAAAATACTACTACTAATTACTTGTTTCTAGATATCTTTTAATCTGAATTATAGATGTTGAGTTCTCTAAGTTTCTATCATTAATTTTAATGAAACTCATTAAAAAATGTGATCATTTTTAGGTGAAATTCAACAATCTAGGTGGTGATCTAGCTTATACAAAAGCTGAATCAATAGCTGAAAAGCTTAGTTCACGTGCTGTAATCAATAATAACACAAATACTTCTAAGGTTCGATCTGTAAATACTAAATCGTAAGTTGATCAGTCTATTGCTTTATTTCTCTTGCTTTTTTTTGTATTTAACCAACCTAGTTTTAATTATTTCATAATATAACTATCTATTAATCCTTTGTCAACTAGTCAATTTCTCTAGAATATGATGAATTCTGTTTGTTTGTTTGTTTATTTTAGGATGGTACTTTAATCAGTTTATTTCTTTCTTCAATCTACACATTAATTGATAAGTTTCAAGGTCAACACTTTTTATTTATTAACTCCAGTGTAGTTTTTCTAAAAAAAAACAAGCGAATAAATTCTTACAAAAGTGCACAAATAGTCTTGAACTTATTATAATAGGAATTTCAAAAAAAATGAGCAGTTCTGTCCGTTTGTTTAACTTGGAAGATAATATTGTTTGTTGGTAACAACTGAACATAAAATATAATGGATACAATTCATCGTGTTACATATAGTGACTACAATAATGTCATATGGTAGTTAAGTAAGTATAGTGCACTGTGAAGTTTAATACTTCAAGAATGAATTGTATTCAACACACTGGTATTGATGTTTAACTATCCATCTACCTCTAGACCGCCTAACATTGTAATGAAATAAAATTACTCTACAAAGACAAGTGGGTGGCGAAAGTCCTAATGGAAATTTCTTTATAAATATCAAAGCAAAATCTTGATATAACTGGTTTTCATTAAAACCTGTACTCATAGTTTGCTGAGTTACTTCGATCTATTGTTCTCAGTTGCCGTTGCACGATTGCTAACACTCATAACCTATTTTTTCGTTATCTAACAAGCCTTTGCATATTGAGATTGAGCATCCACCTGCTAGCAACTAAGTGACCATCAACAAATTGACCGTGTTAGTACATTATTAATAATGTCATCAACGCAACAGGCTTTTTGTTAGGTTATATATTGTTATCTATGTGCAAAAATTGATCCTATTTCTATTGACTTGATTTCCTGTTCACTTTTAAATGCATTATTTTGTCTCAATTCGCAGCCTCGATGATGATGAAGATGATGATGATGAAAGTGATCATTCATTTGATTCGGATGCTGACGTTGCTACGAATAACAGTAAAGATGATAGTACTGTAAACAGCAGTTCGGACCTACACGCAGGAACTCGATATGTTGGCTATGCTTCTGTTCTGTACGAATATGAAGGTAAATAAAATATTAAGGGATCTAAATCATTTTATACTTGTGATGTATTACATAATACCGATATTCATTACACATTTGTTTTGAATGATGCAATTATAGTTGGTGTAAATAGTTTTCTCCAGTCTGTTTATTGTAATTATGCCCATTCAGATTTTGGTCGTTTAAAAATCACATAAGTATTTGTGAAATTCCCAAACACAAAATGATCCAATCATATTTGCTACTATACTGTACAGATAACTCGTATTGCACTATCTCACACCGTGAAAATATTCCATAGGAAAAACTCAGAAACTGTACAACCAGTTACATTCACAATAAATAACTATTTGAGAACACGTAAATACAGTGTTACACGCAGATTATGTGTTAGAAGACTACCACTCAATGAGTAATAACTAGAAAAAGACTAGTTAGATATTATATCAGCAACGATTTACTCAAAATTTCTCATTTTTCCGATAGGTCAGTCCATGGCTGGAAAATTATTTCTCATGTCAACCTAATGGCTCTCGTAGTTGATGGAAATTTAGCTCAGACACTCGTACAGCTTTAAAGAAGTCCACCTTATTAAGAGATTTCTGATTTTGAAATTGCTCAACTTATCGACACAATGTCTATGATTCAACGTCAACACGTGTAATCTCTGTAAAAATAGTCGCAGTAAATACATTACTGATCATATGTCTTAGTGTATTCTGATATTGCAATAGTCAAAAGTGTGGTGGTTACATTTTAAAATTAACATACAAAATAGGAAACTAAAGTCAAATCATACTAACAGGATTGAAATAGTGCCTTTTATAAGTATACTTTTGAGAACTTGCTAGATGAAACACTCAAACAATATATAAAAAGTTTATTAAAAAGTTTTCTGCCTAATTGCCATGAGGAAATCGGAAATTAGGTAAGTGCTTCAAACGGGAACATTTGGTTGTACAGCTTTTTTAGAGTCCTTATTTTAATCTATTTACCATTGACATGCGGTCATTGATTATCAGCTTGTTAAATCAATAACGTGGATAAAAAAGCGACCATTTTATTTGCACCTTTTGTTTTTGCACAAGGAAATCGGAATTATTTGTATACAGAGGAATACTAATATTATTTTAATATTAGGCTAGTCAAGATAGTGCTTTCTTTTTATGTCTTCTGTGTGCATAGAAAATGTCAGTATGGTTTGTCTTTGTAAAATTACTGAAATTTTTTGATGGATCTCACACAATATATTAAAATTGAAATTTTACTCTGTATAATGTGGATCGAAAGCTGCAATTGCTACAAATATAATTTAGGTTGTTTTTTCGGAAATCTACATAACATTGACGAGTTTCATGTTTCGTTGTGCAATAATTGAAAAGGAACGTGTTAAGATAGCTATCCATTGATCATCTAACTGTTCTCAGCAGTTATTTAGCTCCTATTGTCTTGATTCAAAAATGGGTTATATCAATAGCTCTAACGTAGCAAAAGAACAACAAATTTACGGTCAAACGGTAATACTGATACAGTTCCTCCGTATAGGTCAACGTATTAGACAATGAGTGACGATTATTGAGGCATTACTAGTAAACTATTCAAAGTCAAATTGAAAGCAAAATTTAGTTGTTTGTTGATTATTTCTACCAATACAAAGTCTATATGACTTTGTGGTAGTTCTTTGCCAGGGTTCTTTAAAATACATTTTACACTACCAATGGAAAGCGATATCTCATATCACGTTGATAGTGCTTTACTATATGTGATGAAATTTGGCTGTCTGTCTATTTCGATTCTATGCAATAAGTTCAAATGCATAGAATGACTCTTCCTACCACTGAGAGATATTTAAGTAAGTCCAGTATGTTGGCTTCAACATACAAAATACAATCCTCACATGTACTTCTCTTAATCGTTTAAAATTCCCACATAAAATCATATGAATGAGTTCAATATACATTTCGATATTTTCATCATAAACAATTAATCAACTGACCCCCAAGGTAGTGGAAAATTTTATTTTCTCACATTTTCCCTCTGATCAGGTGATGGGAGTACATATTTAGCAACAAAGCCCGGAGAATTGTATTATGTTTTAAAAGTAGATTCAACTAATTCTGGATGGACAGCTGTAGTATCTGAAGATGGAACACGTCAAGGTTTTGTTCCAACTGGTTACATCAATTTAACCCTTTATTAAATTGTCACTTTTTATCAATTTGTTAATTTTTGTCATTTCCACCTTCCCCTAATTCTCAATTCAATTTTACTGTTAATATGAGTATTACAGCTCTTCCAGTTGAATGAATTAGTATTTTCCTCTTTTCATTAATATTGAAAATAATATATTGGTTTGTACATTCACTCCCCTGACTTAATTATTGACACTTTAATCTTTATTATTTTCAATTATTATCACTACTGTTATGTATGACTATTCTTATTCTCTAATAGTTGACTTTAAGTCTACACAATCAGCTTAATTATTTGAAAATTCCACCTCTGTACACCAGTTACTTTTCACATATATTACAATAAGTGTTAAATGTACAATACATTAATTATTTGTAACACCTTGAACACTTAACACACTAGTGCCTTTACTCATGATTCACTGCAACTTATTGATTGATGTTATGATTGTATTATCTCATTGTTTTTCTTTTCAATAATGTTCACCTTCTAAAAACGAAAGTCACCTTATCGTTAACGTTCAGTTTGATTTTGTATTCCGATATCATTAAATAAAAGTCAACTAGTGGTATTAATTGATTGATCATCTAGTCTTTAATATTTCCAATATAATTCATCCGATTTGTTCATTCCTATTATTGCGTAATCATTAAGCTTGTATTCATTTATTTATTTTTTCATTTATGAAACATGTTGATAATGATGTTTCGCAAGATTTGGTTTGCTTAATATGTATTCCGTTTTCTATTATTTTCTTTTATTCAAAAACGATATACCCTAATTCTTGTACAACATACATTTATGAACAATAAAATGATTTTAAATACAGGTATGACACTCAACAATTTATTTGCTTCATTGTCTAACTGCTGAATCTATTTTCAATGCATCATATTTGCGAACCTCTACTTGATTTCATTGTTTTCCTCATCTTTTTGTCTGTTTTTTCCTAACTAATTTTAGCTGACGTAATTTGGTAAATTGTGTGGTTGTATATTTTATGTATTAATTTTTCTACATATAAAGAGGATACTATATATATTGGTGTTTCAGTTATGCTAGATACTAACGCCTTTCTCATCTGTTGATTGGTAAGTGGCATGGTAGCCTTCAATTCACCTTGTAGTTATTTAATAAAACATATGTGTTTACCCTAATCCAAGTATTTGGATTTCTCTTAGTACAAGATTTATACAAATGGTTTTACTACGTTTGTTGTTTATATGACGGCTAAGTTAATTGTTCTTGAATTTAAATATGGATGCCCGGCAGTAGTGACTCAAGACCATTGTCTGTTCCAACGAATGTTATTTCTAAAACTATTTTCTTTTCAGTTCACAACTCAGCAAGAAATAGTTTTTCACAGGTTTACAGTCAGATCTGTCTCCGTACTTATGGATGTGGATTAATGTGAAGAGAACATTTTGTGAGGTCACCATAAGAATGTCTATCATTTAGGCAGTCTATTTTGTATATAATCATTGATAAATCACTGATATCACAACTAAACAATAGTATCATTTTAGGAAGATGGTGACAATAGGTTGATACGAATTAATAAACAATGGTAATGAAAATAAGGATATATTATTGGGAAAGTTGTTATTATTTCGAGCTGACTTCATGTGACTTAATTGTTAATAGTATAAAACATGAAATGTTTTCATGACATGTAAGTAGAAGTGAAGCCACTTCACAATACTCCATTATTGGTTGACAGGATACTATGGCGAATATTAATCTCGTAAGCCTAGATATATCTTCAGTGAATAAAATACAAATGATAACATAAACAGATATAATAAAAAGGTGGTATGAATATATCATCAAATACGTTTCGTTATGGTATATTCGAGATTCTACCTATTAGAAGATACATGAAATGGTCTAGGGATTAATATGCTCGGTTCGTTTATTCATACTGTTTTTGTCCTCAGTATTTCCATTTGGGACTGTAGTGCATCGAAATGTTCCATGGTTCATTAATTTTTTTTAAGTAAACTAATTAACATCAGAGTTCAATTTTGTAGCCCATAGTTAGTGTTTCAGTGTAATGATGTACTACTGATACCAGTAATAAATAACGATTCCGAAATTTAATTGATTATTAGACTTTGTTTAGCCATAGGAAAGGTAGTGTTTGTAGTATTTTGCAGTATTTTCTTGATCGACAGATTAGTCTCAAAGTTCCTCAGAGGGAAATTCGATGGCGTAATGTCATGTAATTCCAGTCCACATCGTGTTAGAGCCTATAACATGTTAGAAGCAGACGAAACAGAGCATGGAACCAAGAAGTTAACACCAGGACTCGGATATATATATATATATATATATATATATATATATATATATATATATATATATAATTCCTATGTTATATACTCGCATATTGAAGAAATGCATTAAGATTATAGAATGAGACAGAAATTCAAAAGGATAGGAACACGACCCAAAACAGAGCATTAATTGTTATACTTAGGATTGTTTTTGTCAAGATTATTTGTCACAATTATTTTTATCAGGGAAAAAAAGATATCTCGCCATTATCATAGATCAATTAGCAGTTATTTCATTTCAATGGTATTTTAGTAATGAAATGAAAACAGCGTTTGTTTATTTAAACACGACAGGGATATCCGCTATCTTCACAAATTCTAACAAAATGTATCGAACAACTGTTTGTTCCCTAATTTAAGACTCAAAATCAGCGCTTATCGAAAACCTCACTCGATGTAATCTGTGGAAACTCAACAATTTTCACAAATGTCTCCACTATGTGTGAAATACCTTGCTGTCCTAATTGTGAAGACTGCTTTTCTCAAAATATAAGTTTTGAGGAACATAGGTTCTCAGTCCTTTCTGTGTACTTGTTACTAAAGAACTCGTAAATTCACTAAACAGTGGTATATATTTGCAGCTCAGGAAAACGATTTTGATGAAGTTAGTCTCTCTGGATGAATAGTTTAATCGTGATTTTTTAAGTGTATTTCTACATAACATCGGTAGTAAAAAGAAAGTACCACTAGGAAGATTGAAGAACTACCTAGGGATGAAAGTATCAATCAGTCCATGGAGAAATGTCATCAAAAACCTGTATAGTTAAACCTCTGATTCTCTGCCTTTGATTATACAGAATGTTATTATCAGAAGAGGTATCTAACAACAATGTCATTTTAGAAAGCGTAGATAATCAGAAGCAGAACAGAACGTTTGGGTAATTAGATGTATCAGAAAACAACCTAAACATTAGCAACATCTCACAAGACTATACGGGTGCAAAACCCATTCAAAACAGATAACTCTGAGTATTTATGTGATTTCATCCTAACTATTAATCCAAATGGTTGTACACTCAATATATAGATGAGTGTATTTTCGTTTAGGGTCGTCGTGTTTTGCGGTAAATAAATATTCATTTGTACCAGGTTTGGTGTTCTTACTTCATGTCGTTGTAACTGGAATGGTTCCTCGTTTTACAAGTATAAGTAACATGTATTTCTGAAATAACATTAGGGGCGATAACCAGCTGAATGTTTGTGGCTTGAATAAATCTTTTGTACGTCAGTCATCTGATGTGATGCTCCCTATATACAACTTACTTACTTACTTACGCCTGTTACTCCCAATGGAGCATAGGCCGCTGACCAGCATTCTCCAACCCACTCTGTCCTGGGCCTTCTTTTCTAGTTCCATCCAATTCTTGTTCATTTTTCTCATGTCTATTTCCATTTCTCGGCGTAATGTGTTCTTTGGTCTTCCTCTTTTCCTTTGGCCTTCAGGATTCCATGTGAGGGCTTGTCTTGTGACGCAGTTGGGTGCTTTCCTCAATGTGTGTCCTATCCACTTCCAGCGCTTCTTCCTGATTTCTTCCTCCGCTGGGATCTGGTTTGTTCTCTCCCACAGTACGTTGTTGCTAATAGTGTCCGGCCAACGGATCTGAAGTATTTTGCGTAGACAACTGTTAATAAACACCTGTATTTTCTGGATGATGGCTTTCGTAGTTCTCCAGGTTTCTGCCCCATACAGTAGAACTGTCTTGACATTTGTATTGAAAATCCTGACCTTGGTGTTGGTTGACAGTTGCTTTGAGTTCCAGATGTTCTTCAGTTGTAAATATGCTGCTCTTGCTTTGCCGATCCGCGCCTTCACATCTGCATCAGATCCACCCTGTTCATCAATGATGCTGCCCAAATATGTAAAGGTTTTTACATCTTCCAAATCTTCTCCGTCAATTGTGATTGGATTGGTGCATGCTGTGTTGTATCGGAGAATCCTGCTTTTCCCTTTGTGTATATTGAGACCTACTGCTGCTGAGGCTGCTGCCACACTGTTCGTCTTCTCCTGCATCTGTTGTTGCGTTTGGGATAGAAGGGCCAGATCATCTGCGAAGTCTAGATCGTCCAACTGCATCTTAGATGTCCATTGTATCCCGCGCTTCCCTTCAGACGTTGACGTCTTCATGATCCAGTCGATCACCAGGAGAAAGAGAAAGGGTGAGAGTAAGCAACCTTGCCTAACACCGGTCTTCACTTCGAACGACTTTGTCAACTGTCCTCCATGCACAATTTTGCAGTGTAATCCATCATATGAGTTCTGTATGATATTGACTATCTTCTGAGGCACGCCGTAGTGTCGAAGAAGTTTCCATAGTGTTGTTCTGTCCACGCTATCAAATGCCTTTTCGTAGTCAATGAAGTTGATGTAGAGTGATGAATTCCATTCAATTGATTGTTCCACAATGATCCGTAGAGTTGCGATTTGGTCTGTACACGATCTATCCTTACGGAATCCTGCCTGTTGGTCACGAAGTTGGGCGTCTACGCAGTCCTTCATCCTGTTTAACAATACCCTGTTGAAGACTTTTCCCGGTATTGAGAGAAGAGTGATGCCCCTGTAGTTATCACACTTGCTGAGATCGCCTTTCTTCGGTATTTTGATCAGAAGTCCTTCTTTCCAGTCTGTTGGTACTTGTTCCTCATCCCAAATCTTATTGAAGAGAATGTGGAGTATCCTTGCAGTTGCCGCTACGTCTGCTTTTAGTGCCTCTGCTGGAATGTTGTCCGGTCCTGCTGCTTTGCCACTCTTGATTTGTCTGATGGCCATGCTGATTTCTTCAATTGTTGGTGGGCCAACATTGATTGGGAGGTCCGTGGGTGCTGCTTCGATGTTGGGTGGGTTCAGTGGAGCTGGTCGATTCAAGAGTTCTTTGAAGTGTTCTACCCACCTGTTTTGTTGCTCTTCAATGTTGGTGATTACCTTGCCTTCCTTGCTTTTCACTGGTCGTTCTGGTTTGCGGCGATTTCCAGAGAGTTTCTTTGTCGTGTCATACAATTGTCTCATGTTTCCTTCTCTTGCAGCCTTTTCCGCCGTCGTTGCTAAATCTTCCACATATTTACGTTTGTCGGTTCTGATGCTCCTCTTCACTTGTTTGTTTACTTCTGTGTATTCAGCTTGTGCCTTGGCTTTTTCTGCTCTTGTTCGGCTGGTATTGATTGCTGCCTTCTTGTTCCTTCTTTCTTGAATCTTATCCAGTGTATCAACAGTGATCCATTCCTTGTGGTGGTGCTTCTTGTGACCCAGGACCTCATGACATGTTGAAGTGATTGCCTCTTTGATCCCCTTCCAGTTGCTCTCCACAGTAGTTCCTTCTCCATTGAGTAGATCATGAAAGGCCTGGAACTTGTTGCTGAGGACTATCTTGAATTTGTTGAGTTTGTTAGTATCCTGGAGAAAGGCCGTATTGAACTTTTGTGATATTGTCCGCCCCGTTGTCCAGTGCTTCTTGAGTTTCAATTTCATCTTGGCGACCAGCAAGTGATGATCTGATGCTATATCAGCTCCTCTCTTGGTTCTCACGTCCTCTATAGTCCTCCTGAACGTTTTGTTGATGCAAATATGGTCGATTTGGTTTTGTGTAGAGTGATCCGGTGAAGTCCATGTGGTTTTGTGTATGCGTTTATGTGGGAATATGGTGCCGCCTATGACCAGCTTATTGAAGGCACATAGATTTGCAAATCTCTCACCATTTTCGTTCCTTTCTCCCAGTCCGTGTCGTCCCATGATGTCTTCATATCCAGTGTTGTCCGTTCCAACCTTGGCGTTGAAATCTCCCATCAGAATGGTCAGGTCCTTTGTTGGGCACTTCTCGACGATTGACTGCAGCCTATTGTAGAATTGATCTTTAGCGTCTTCATTGTAGTCGTTGGTAGGCGCATAGCATTGGATGATGTTCATTGAAATGCCCTCTTTCTTTGTTTTGAACGAGGCTTTGATGATCCTTGGTCCATGAGATTCCCATCCTATAAGCGCATTTTGCGCTTGTTTGGACAGCATCAATGCAACTCCTTGTGTATGTGGTGCATTTTCTTCTTCATGGCCGGAGTATAACAGGAGCTCTCCTGTAGTTAGTCGTTGTTGTCCAACTTGTGTCCAATGTGTTTCACTGATCCCAAGTACCTCTAGGTTGTATCTTCTCATTTCTGCAGCAATTTGGAAGGCTCTTCCGGTGTCCCACATTGTACGAACATTCCATGTACCTAAATAAATGGTTGCTCTGGTTGTCAGAAGGGGCATCGGCCTCGTAACTTCCGAAGGAATTCGGCTTTCATCATGAGGCGTCATAATTCTTCTAAATGAAGACCTTCTGACTCCCAGGGCAGAGTTTAAAAGGTTTGAATAATTTTTTCTGGTTAGCGTTTTTTTAGCGAGTTAGTTTTCTACGGGATGGGGACGCTAACCCCATGCCCAACCCTCCTCCTTTATCCGGGCTTGGGACCGGCAGTAGCCCCCGGAGGGACTCCAGGCGGAGTTTTTACTATGGTGATATACCCATAAAATTACTAACTTCTTGGCAATTACATCACTGTACCATAATGTTATCTATTTTGTTTATAATTCAGATGTATTATTATTAGAAGCTTTATTCAACATTATATTTTTGGTACAACATAGAATTCTCAGCATAAAGTATTTCAACAAGTTTCCTTTTCTTATACCTTGATCGATTGTGACGATAAATTTTGAATGATGACCAGTTAGATGTTAGAAGTTCGGTAATCCATATTTGATTACTGTTCATTTGTTTCAATGCATATTGCCAGCCACCATGATGTCGCTGATTGTACCTTTTTGTATCCCGTACAGCGAAAGGTTGTAAACTTTTCATAAACGTGCCTGAATAGGTTGTGCGCACAATAGACATAGTGATGTGCTAAAACAAACAACAAAACAGATAACTTGATGAAATATCTAGATCGGAGGAACAGGTAGCCCAGATATTCAAGCAGGCCGCCGGTTGATTAAACTTTAAAAAATCAGATACAGTTATTTCAACGGATTATATTGTTCATATTATAAAGTACGTCGTGCATTTGAACCAAAAAAATTGTCTTCGTTATTCTAGTGGACACACATGGTAAACGACATATAATGTTGCATAAAGGATTTAGTTATAATTAAGATTTATTGTTTACATTCTTGATGGTTTTTATCACTTCAAAATCATGCTTATACACAATTATACAGCTTCATAGGTAATAGTATAGGGCATCATATTCTGAATTTGCAGATCAGTGTTACCATCCATTCGAAAAAAGTATTTTGTGTTGGTGTATTGGATTAATATTAAAATTCGTTCAAAGAGTATCAGCAGAAGGGTAATGGAGGAGGGTTGGGCATGGGGTCGGCAGTCCGATCAGGTAGAAAACATAACTGTTACGAAAACGCTAATCACAATAAAAAATTCAACCATTTAAAATCTTTCCTCCGAGTTGAAGGAAGAATTGTGATGCATCATAGTGAAAGCCGATATTCTTCGGAAGTCACATGGCGTTCTCGAATGCCTGTATAGTCTCTGCTGAAAGATGGAATGTCGCGACATGTCCTCGTGTGACGTCCGTCAGTGGTTACAACAACAATCGTCTATAATAATGTATTAGCCCCAGAAACCGGCGATATTTTTTGCGAATCGTAAACTGATAGCCGCAAATAGCAGCAACGTCTGCCGGAACTGTTGTAATACTTTGAGAAGTTACGATTTGACACCAGATTTGCAAGAACCTATCTCAAAAGGCACACTTCTCAACGGTGATTGAGATACCATACGTATATACCCCTAGCAAACCTTTAAGAGCTTGATCAATAAACCAGTGTAAAGTTTGCTCTGCATTAGCCAATGTGAATGGCATGCGCAGAAATTCATGTAAACCAAATGAAGTAGCTGCTGATGTCGTGGATGGTCTTATCACATATTTAGCACCTAACGTTTACATGCTAAGAGATCGATAATCTTCCCAAGGCCTGGCTTCTCTGTACGTTTTCATGGCCGAGTGAAACGGCAACACATGAGAGTTGATAGGAAGCCTTATAATGCTTAGCTCCATTAACTAAACGAATTCCTGTTTTGCTATTCTCAATATTTTGAGGTCCAAACTTCGTGGCCCTGCATTTGCTGGTGGTCATTTCGTTACATATATGGTCTACGAAATGAACAACGAATGTCGAAACATTAACTGGGATTTAAAAGAATGTAAACGTTTCACTGAAGGTTATCTTTTCTAATTAGAAATGACAAATGCATTAAATGCGAGTGAAGAACATCTATTCCGTGGAATTAGTGCTCATTTCTCTTCTCAACGTATCATTTCTATTGAGTTGGAGGTATTCGGAACGGTGTAATTCCTAGATATTCTTTTCGTTACTGTATGTTTGACGACAATTTATTTTACGGATTATGAAGGGATCTGAATACTTATAGTGAACGTTTTGTTGTACTTTCGTCATAGCAAAATACAAGATATTAACACATGGGTAATCGAAAGTTTGTTGTAGTGTAGCCTAAAGAAGTTAGTACGGCAGAAATTCAGAGAAACATACTTTTAGGATCACTGAAAAAGTATTCCATCATTTTTTAGTTCATCTTAACTTTTTCTAGTCCGCCTATGATTGGTAGTGGTTTGGAGGATAAGCTCTCGGTTTGTGACAAATCAGTGTACATCTACCAGTTAATTTCTGCATCCATGAACTACTGTGATCAGCCGAACTATTGCATTTGTGGTTGTGGTTTACAGGAATTTACACAAATTTCGGTTAATATTCATCTGTCTACATGGTAAGAATGAGTGCTAGACGGCTGCATTTCGAGGGAGCTTCTGACAAAAGAGGCATATCTGATTTCGTTACAACAACAACAACAACAACAACAACAACAACTACTACTACTACTACTACTACTACTACTACTACTACTACTACTACTACTACTACTACTACTACTACTACTACTACTACTACTACTACTACTACACCTTTTGACTATCAGCAATAGTGGGAAACTAGACTTATCAGTCGTCTGGTAGATGGAATGAGATGAAACATTCATTCTCGTGATATGATGACGAACACACTCATGATGATTTTTGTATGTAAAGGATTGTAAAGTGAGTACGTTTTACCTTTCGTAGTGTCAATGTACACTGTAAGTGTAGCGTATCATTTATCTCCTATACGGGCTAACCTTTTTCATCTTTTCGAATGATTGATCGTTACGGCCTATTAGGTGAAACATTTGCTACCACTTTTAAAAATATGTGCCAAATGGAACAAGACTGGAATGGAAATTTCCACATTTTCAGTCAAGCAGATATAATCTGAAGCAACGTTATATGAGTCTCTAGTGGGAATACTCTGTTTGAGCAAACTCATCTGTCTGTCCACGAGAACTGGTTGATTAGTTGTTTGAGTAACACAAAGTACATCAAAACGTCTTATAGTAAACAAAGTCATTTATCAATCACAATGCCCATGCATATGCTAAGGAAAATAGTAGAATGAAATGCTGTTAGAAGCGTTATTATTATATAAATAAAAACATTTTAAAATTTTAAACTGTTAGTTAAGTTAAATTATATTACTGTCCATCTAAAAACTACAAAATTATAAGTATTCTCCAACAAAGACTTGTTTGGGTATTTGGTGATCGCTTGAAAGAAAAATAAGTTCAGTAAAACAGTTGTAAATAGAAAACAAATGTCTAAATAGTTGTAATCGGTACTGTGTGTATTTCAAAACTGGTTGGATCAAATCACATTATAAATGATGTTTCATGCTCAGATTGTCTTCGAAGTTTAAGGTGAATAATCTCTACTTTCTTAAGAAAATAACCCAAGTCATATTAATTATGTGTACAAATTCATTTAATTTTGTGTGGATTCTATTGGTCACTAGATCTAATCCAGCTTAGTTAAAATGAATATCTAAACTCATGTTTAAGCCACTCTATTCTGATAAACTGTTGGGCTAAATTAGTAATCCACTGTATTTACGACAAGATATACTTCGCATCCGATATGTGTTTGCCTTTCGCACGCTGTAAGATTACTAAAACGGAATACGTCTACTATGTCCGTGAAAATCGATGATGACTGTTGAGTTGGTCACAGCGAAATGTTCTTTGTTAAATGTCTTACAAATGGTGAAATTCCTATTTCCAAGTTCACCAATATATTGCGAAAATCCTAAATGAACTAAAGAGCAGTTTTCTAAAAATCTGTATCGGTGTACTGTTCATTGTGATTGCTGTTTTTAAGTATATATGTGTGAGTTTTGATTTGTTGGACTATAAATTGGTGAATTGTGTCATTTGAGTTTCAAATGTATGAAATTACTTACATAATTAACATTCGATTTCGTCATATAAGTCCTTCAGTAATCCTGGTATCCATTTACTTGACTCTTGTTCTAAAAACCTAAATTAGTATTGGATATATGAAGTCACCATTCATAATCTTGAACCTCTGAAGTTCCCATTCCTTTATCAAAGTTCCCAATTTTTCTGTAATTTGAAAATGAATATTCATTTTGTGTAACTGTGTTTATTTAAGTGATATAGGTACATTGATTTATCACACAAACTTTACTCACATTGGTGAGTGAACCTGAAAGTCGGTGACTGAATTTATTGTACTTTCAACAAACTGCGGGTATGAGTACGGAGGATTACACAACTTATGCGATAACATTCTGGCTTTTAAATCACACAGAAACCATCGGTTACCATGGTACACAAAAGTATTTTGAAGTTGTAGTTATTTTGTAGATGAATATAGTTCCTAATTTACATAAGCATAGCATGTAAGTAAAAGAGCTATATACTAAGTGAAAAATATCTACCTATACTACTGCACAAATTAAGACATTCTATCATGTTAAATAACCGAATTTCAACAGATATATACATTAATAGGAAGCCTCAATGATTATTAAAAAAACATTGTTTGTTGTTAAGTGTAATTTCACATGAGCTGCACTTATTAAATTAGTTTGGATAGCTAAATGTCGTTCCAGGAGAGTCATTTGTTCAGTCAGTTACACATTTGTCCATTATTGTGAGATAATTTAACAGAACATATTCATTGGAGAAAATACCACACAATCTTGTTACAGAGATTTCACTGGTGAAATGAACAACAGTTGACATGCCGTGAATATAGTGTGCTGTGAATCGGAATACAGATTGCATGTGTAATTTCGAGTATGTCCAGTGAAACTTGTATGAGAACGTTAAATTACGGTAATCATTCAATGTATCGATTCGATGGTTTGTTAGATATGTGGAAAATACTAATTCGTTTCATGACACTTTAAAGAGTAATATTCAAGGTTATTTTGGAGGAGTGACATTTGCGGATCGTAGTACTGAGTGACTCTTATACACCCACACTGTGGATGGATACTGAATCCATCTAAGCATATGAAGTCCTGTCATCCCGATACATCACGAGGTTTTACTATTATCTGTGCGATAGTAATAGTGCTGTTTATTTTGGATTGTTCGATGCACAATATGTTGAATTTAACATTCACTCACAAAATCTCACTTACGTCTCAAGGTTTCCAATTCTTTATCACTTTCTCCAAATCTGTTGGTGTGATCTAGGAGAGCTATAGAATAAGATAAATGTATCAGTTTTTAATGATAACACGTTTTATATCACAAACCGGTAGTGAGTGAATAAGCGTTTATTAACGGTAATGATGCTCACAAGTTTTTAATGTGAAAGAAATCAACTCAAATAATCTTCTTCAAGTAGATCGACTGCACAGCATTGTAGATGGAATAATAAAAGTTTTTATGTCTGGCGATAATTGATAGGTCGAGATATAATGAAAATAGTACAAAGATCTATGTGATAGTTAGTACTTACTAAAGAAACAAAAACCAATAATAAAAATTTTTATAATGATATGTGTGAATACATAAAAAACATTTGAAAGTAGCCTTATGGGAAACGTTATAAAAAATAAGAATCGGCAATTTTTTGATCATTATTGAAAGAGTGTATGAAGTACGGGAAACCAATCAAATCAATAGATGACGATAAACTGTGGACTGATAGGTGATATGAAATGGTCAAATAAAGATAATGGACTAGTTGATTTCGGATTGATCCACACAACAACTGCTATATTTTAGTCATTTTCTATTTGCAAACTAATCAGATACTAGGACAATGTCAATTTCTGCTTATCGGTAATCTTGAATATCATCTCACAAAACTGTTGTCACAGTGATAAATTGTGATAAAAACCGTGGATGTATTTCTTCTCAAAATAGAAAACAACTAAACGTTCGCGATATCTGAAACATTGTAAATTTGTTTAATAAATAATATCAATCATTTTACCAACCATGATCTGGTCGACGTGTAGTTGTCAACAAATCATCAGTGGGTACTGGAAAATAATATACTGTAGAAATGAAAAATTGAAAATCAAAATCATTTGACAAAGCAACGGTCTAATAGAGATTGACAAAGTGGATTCTATTGCAAAACGAGATGATGAAACATAGTGGAAATATTTTAAACATTTGATATGTATCGATGCCATGTTCGGGCTCGATGGTCTGAGTCGATAATTTGAGCATTCGATAGAAAGTTAATAATGAATATATTTTTGTTATATCTCAATGAGTAGAGAAACTGTATTTCCGACGATTCGTGACTTGATGTAGCAGTTTCTTCACATTGAATAAATAACCGAAATAAATTGCCACAAGTTTACGTGTTACAAACAAACAAATGTTTGATGTTCGCGATAATATTTATAAATCCATAAATAGTGTTGTTGTGCCACTTATTTATCTGTATCAGGAACACGTACATATAACCCTGAGTGGACTGATGTTGACTGCGGAAACCAGCTTCATAGTGTTTGACAACATCTCTCTGTTCTTGTAGTACAGAGATGTTTACAAGTGACTGATCATAGATAATGGACTAGTTGTTTTCGGATTGATCCACACAACAACTGCTATATTTTAGTCATTTTCTATTTGCAAACTAATCAGATACTAGGACAATGTCAATTTCTGCTTATCGGTAATCTTGAATATCATCTCACAAAACTGTTGTCACAGTGATAAATTGTGATAAAAACCGTGGATGTATTTCTTCTCAAAATAGAAAACAACTAAACGTTCGCGATATCTGAAACATTGTAAATTTGTTTAATAAATAATATCAATCATTTTACTAACCTCTATAAGGTTGAAGATTAAATCTTAACCCATTGTTAATACTTCCTGCTTAATGAAAGCATTATTAATGTAAAAAGTGAACACAAATATTATTTGACTAAGCAACGGTCTAATAGAGATTGACAAAGTGGATTCTATTGCAAAACGAGATGATGAAACATAGTGGAAATATTTTAAACATTTGATATGTATCGATGCCATGTTCGGGCTCGATGGTCTGAGTCGATAATTTGAGCATTCGATAGAAAGTTAATAATGAATATATTTTTGTTATATCTCAATGAGTAGAGAAACTGTATTTCCGACGATTCGTGACTTGATGTAGCAGTTTCTTCACATTGAATAAATAACCGAAATAAATTGCCACAAGTTTACGTGTTACAAACAAACAAATGTTTGATGTTCGCGATAATATTTATAAATCCATAAATAGTGTTGTTGTGCCACTTATTTATCTGTATCAGGAACACGTACATATAACCCTGAGTGGACTGATGTTGACTGCGGAAACCAGCTTCATAGTGTTTGACAACATCTCTCTGTTCTTGTAGTACAGAGATGTTTACAAGTGACTGATCATAGATAATGGACTAGTTGTTTTCGGATTGATCCACACAACAACTGCTATATTTTAGTCATTTTCTATTTGCAAACTAATCAGATACTAGGACAATGTCAATTTCTGCTTATCGGTAATCTTGAATATCATCTCACAAAACTGTTGTCACAGTGATAAATTGTGATAAAAACCGTGGATGTATTTCTTCTCAAAATAGAAAACAACTAAA